CTCTTCTCTTCTCTTCTCTTCTCTTCTCTTCTCTTCTCTTCTCTTCTCTTCTCTTCTCTTCTCTTCTCTTCTCTTCTCTTCTCTTCTCTTCTCTTCTCTTCTCTTCTCTTCTCTTCTCTTCTCTTTTCTCTTCTCCCTTCTCTTCATAGAATCAGATGAGTTGGAAAGGACCTCTGAGATCATCAAGTCCAACCCTTGATCCACTACCACCACAGTTACTAGACCATGGCACTAAGTGCCACATCCAGTCTCTTCTTAAATACCTCCAGGGACAGAGAATCCACCACCTCCCTGGGCAGCCCATTCCAATGCCTGATTACCCTCTCTGTAAAGAATTTTTTCCTAACATCTAACCTAAACCTTCCCTGGAAGAGCTTGAGACCATGCCCTCTTGTTTTACTGATAGCTGACTTATTCTCTCTTCTCTTTTCTCATTCTCTTTCTTCCTCTTCTTTCCTGTTCCTGCAAACCCACTCTGTCCGAAGCTGCTGAGAGAGAAATTACTCCTATAAAGCTTTCCATTTTCTCAGAATGCTCATCCCATGTTAGCATGTTCCTTCTATACCACTTCAGTTCCTGCCAGGTCTGGGAAGTGCAAATCTGAAAATTCAGGTCATTTTTAAGTTCTGCCACTGTGCCAAGCCCTGCCCCAGAGAAGGCAAAATTAAAAATTAAGTCTTCAGAAAAGAGAGGGTAAGATGCTGTTCAGTCAAATGACATCATGTTATGATCCGATTAGTGAGAGATGCCTCTGCATGAATTAAGGTGCAAACGACCATACGCTGAAATCAATGATATGGATTATATGTAACAGTAAATGTGAGATAGAGAGATAGAAAGAAACAGAAAGAGCAGGAGGGGGGAGGGAAGAAGAGACAGAGATCAAGCACAGGAGAGTCACCACCCGTGGATTCAGCAGCATCCTGTTGGTCCTTCTTCACCCTGGGCTTCTTGGTGGTGGGGGTCCCAGAGTTATTCCTCTGGGGGTACCACCTTAATGCAGTGCAAGTTCCAGGTATCCACAGGGTGATCACACATGCTATTGCCATAACTTGTGGTGACATGTCTATGAGCAGTTGCTCCTTTTCCCACAGTTTGCCACAGTGGCAATTTTTGTCCTGATGGGTTAGCCAGGATGTGCTAACCAGATCTTACCTCTACCAGGCCTGGAATTAGCACCTTCCTGTTGTAAGTTCCTCCTTTCTGTGTTTATCTCAAGTTCCCACTGTGATGGCTTATCTTATGGCAAGTTTCTTCTGTGGCCTTGACAGTGTTTGAGACAAGCAGCTGTGCTCTTTAAGACCTTACACACCACCAGAGTTTACCACCAACAGAGTCCTAGGTTAAGGAAAAACCAGATTCAAGGAAAGCAATAAGTCTATACTGTTTTAGTTTTTCCAAAATGATTGCCTTGAGGACCCCTTCCATCTCAACATATTCTGTGATTCTGTGAACTATCAAAATTAATCCATAGACTGAAAAGGCCTCTATTTATTAAGAAAGGAAAAAAAAAGAAGAAAGTTCTATCAGGTTTCTTTTTCATACTTAGTGATGTAGTATTTCAGCTTGAGAAAAAAAAGACAAACAAAAAACAAAAGTTCCAATGAAAGTCATAAATGCCTCCTTTAATTGCATATTTCCTGATGGATAATTACAATGCTACAATAATTACAGACTCTCCTAAGAACCAACTGCAGTTACTCCTTATCTCTTCTTCCTGCTATTTGGCTGATTGTTTTTTCACATGTGATGGTACCATGTTCCAATATTTAATTGCATCAGCTATAATGTATGCAAAGCAGGATGGCATCTGAATGGCTTGGTGCATTGTGAGTACTGTTAATTTCTCAGACAATGTTGGTGTGTGGATTAGTGAATATAAATTGAGAAAATGTACTTCAAAATTAATGTATTTCTTAAGTAATCCTGTCTGCCTTTTAATTTAAAGACAAATTATTGGCTGAGGCTTGAAACCCCAAGGAGAGGGATGGGGGGAAGAGGATGAGAGAAAGAAATATTCAAATGTCCAGAAAGATGTTGGGAGACCTTCCTCTCTGGTCACATGGAAGCTTATCCATACCTGATCGCTATGTGGCAGCCTCCTTTATATTTGTGGAGGATATGACAAGGATCCAGCAAAGAGATATTGATGCACCTTTGTCACTTGTAAACAATAGGGGCATAGTAGTCGTATTTGTGCACTATTTGCAATCTATTCACCTTCCACTGATTGGAAGACTCTTCTTGGCCCCATACAATCAGAAAGGCAGTTGCAATATCATGGGGCTGTTGCAGGTTTCTGTTGCTGTGGGAAATGACGAGTAACCTGGAGGTTATGCCCATCAGTGTGAATTCCTTCAGACCTCCTAGACTTCCTTATAAACTTGTGAGCATATATGATTCTGGAGCAGCAAAGAGCATACTTGTTTCAAATCCAGCTAAATTACTCTTACCAGAATTCCACTATGGGGAAACAATGTTAAAATGGTACAAATCCACTTCTGAATATCTTACTCTTGGAGGAACTTAGCAATATTGGTGAGGAAGGAACCTATCTTGAGACAAAACTGTATCTCCTTCATCTCTATCTTGCAAGCAAGTCTAGATAAAAAGCATAATCTCCTGCTTAATTTTTTTTCTTACCCAGCAGATTTCCAAGTTCTTCAGCTGGCTATCAGCTCTTCTTTTAAACATTTTTGAAATGCCATTTAATAGCAATTTAATGAGAACTCATATTGAGTCCTGAAAGTATGGGAGCATTTCTGCCTAGTCTCTTATAGTAAGAGCTCACCATTGTTAACAAAACAGATGCATTATGTATTGTAACTGCAACAAGTATTTAGGGTAAAAGTGTGATTTAGTAAAGATGACATGGAACCAACAGATCTGATTACTCTCAGATCTGTCCAGTATTCTGTAGGAAAGAATTTATAGATTTTCATTTTTCAAGGTAAAGAGGAGAGAGCAAAGTGATTGCAGATTTAGTGTTAGCTTCTGCAAGATAATGAACTTCAAGAGGGGTCTTTCGAATTATCCCTGTGCACCATGAGGTTTGAAGATAATTTTGTACTTTTTTTAGGGGGGAGGGTTGAGGGTTTTTTGTTGCCCAGAGAAGTTGTGGATGCCTCATCCCTGGAGATGTTCAATGCCAGGCTGGCTGGAGCTCTGACCAACCTGGTCTAGTGAAAGGTGTCCCCGCCCATGGCAGGGGGGTTGGAACTAGATGACCTTTAAGGTCCTGTCCAACCTAAAGCATTCTGTGATTCTCTGCATTAAAACTTTTGCTTTTCTGACTAGTGAGGACAAGTAAAATTTAAGGACCTAAGGAAAAAAATACTGAAAACATATTTGCCTTTGAGTTAATTCATTTCTGAAATACTATCATCCTACCTCAAAGAAAATGGCAGCAAAAGAGAAAATGTGAAGAGTAAGAGATGAAAAGAAGCACAAGTGGATGTTGATATGATAAGAGTTTGGGAACTTTGGAATTATGTAGTTTGCAAAAGTAAGGATAAGTATCATTTAATGAGTGATTATTGAAACAGAAAAATAAGTTGAAATTAGGTTGTCTGGAAAGGGCACATAAAACTGATAAAAGGAATACTCTTTGTTTGCAATCCAAGCATTAACTCTTAAATATAGTGTGATCTAAATTCTTTTCTCAATAGTATTCCAGAGTTTTTCTGCATTATTTAACAATTAGATTTTGAAGATGATTTAAGCTGAAAATTGCCAGGAGTTCAAAATAAGCCCTTCTTACATGCTTGTAAGAAGGGCTCATAATTATGTACCTCATAACTGCTGAGGTGTTTTTACTTTCCTGTAAAGAATCTAGCATTCATCATTGTCACGCATAGCACACGAAGATATTTGATGTTAATTCCTATGTTCCTAACCATTGTACCCTCCCAAGGTCAGAGTCCAAGACTGACTCAGTCTTCAGTGTCTTCCAGAATTTGTTACGGGAATTCCTAGATGAAAAGCATAAATACACCATTTGAAATACATGGTATGAAAATGATTATAATAAATAGGGAAAGAATATAATAGACTTTCTATCCAGAATAGCATTAAATGTCTGCTCATATCTGTACACACAGATATTTTGATTTTGTTGTTAATCATTAGAACTGTATTTTCTTTAGACCGTTGACAGGCCAAAGGATTGGTACAAGACCATGTTTAAGCAAATCCATATGGTTCATAAACCTGGTGAGTATTTTTTTGTTTTGTCTGGGTGGTTCTTCATTCATATTAAAACATGCGTTTTTCTGCATTTTGATTGTCTGCTGTGTGAAAATATGAGAGTTCACCAAGTGTCAGATAATGAATTAAATCTAATTCATAAATTCAGTGATAGTTTTTACTGTGGAGAGAGCTTTTTTCCTCTGGTCTAGGCTGACAATTTCTAATTGGTATGCAACCAGCATGATTATGGTCTCACTGGCGAGCTCAGTGAAGTGATCCTCATGTCCAGTTTGAGGAATCAGAGGTTGGCCATTGTAAATCTCCTTTTGGAGAATTCCAGTGCTAGAACAGCACAAGATGGTTTGAGGATAAATTATGGGCTTGAATTGAATTGTTTTCCTAGAATATCTTACTTGGTTTTGCTGAAATGGAACTTTGGTGATATTGGTATCTTTAATGTCCTTTATCATGATTGTCACCAAGGATGCCAAGAAACTGTATAAATGCCAACTGTGCTTATTACGCCTCCAGAAGGAAGGAGAGTTCATTTGTCTGAGGTAGAACTAACATTCAGTATGGTTACACAGACTGTTAGTGGGAGAATAAGAAATGTAGGCAGGAAGATGTTGGCTTACAAGACCTAATTTTAACACTAGTCACATAGTAGGTATTTGGGATTGCTTTTTGTGATAGGAAAAACAATTAACAGTCTCTAGCAGAGAAATTGGGAAGAAATTGGGCTTGGGGAAGGAAAAGAACAAACAAAAATCTGTAATTTGCAATTTGATTTTAACTTAGTAATTATACAGTGTGGGTAACATGACCAGAAGATGCCCTTTTAGGAATAAGATGGTAAAAACAGCCTATGGTAAGTATAATGGGAAGAGAGAGTCTTCTGAAAACACCTATGAGATGAGGAAAAGAAA